TATATTTTAGCCACTTGTTTGCACACACTTCCGTCTGTACACTGTGTTATCTGTAGGGATGCACTGATGCTGATACTAGAATCGGTATCAGTGTCAATACCGATTACTTGGGCGAGTACTCGCCAAAATGCTCCCGATATTTATCCCGATACCAGAACTTCCAGTATCAGGAAGCCGGGCGGTGAGTCAATACAAGACGCCCGGCTTTCTGATTAGCAGGGAAGCCAGCTCAATGCTCCCTCGTCACCAGGGAGCATGGAGCTGACTTCACGGCCAATCAGGAAGCCAGGGTGTGGGTAATGACTCGCTCCCCGGCTTCCTGATTGGCCAGGATGCCAGTTCCATGCTTCCTCGTCACTGGGTGACAAGGGAGCATTGAGCCGGCCTCCGACCAATCATGAAGACGGGCAGCTTGTAATGACTCGCCGCCTGGCTTTCTGCTTGGTCGGGAAGCTGCTAATCAGGCAGCCGGGCAGTGAGTCATTACTCGCCCCCCGACTTCCTTATTGGCCAGAAAGCCGGCTCCATGCTTCCTCGTCAGCTGGTGTAGTATAGTACAGATCACTCACCTAAAACAGTTTTTTTTTTTTTTTTTAAATAAATAAAGCGTAACATAAGTAGAAAGCATTAGCAGAACCTCAAAGCACAGCATCAATAGCCTCACAATAGGTGAAATGATTTTAAGAGTAATATGTAGTGTATTTATGTGAACACATATTTTGAGTTTTTGTTGCATGTTGACCTCAAAGTCATTTTTTAAAATGATTTTCATATTTTTAAATGATTCTTCTGCAAGAACTCCACATAACAACTGTTGACATAAGATATCAGCCACACAGGGGGGTGCATTGTTTTCAGTAAGTTGTCCGTCACATAAAAAGCAGCACTTGTAGCTAGGAATTCACTGATACTAGTATCTGTACTCACACTTGCCCAAATGCTCCAATGCTTACCTCCGATGCCAGAACTTCCGGTCAGAGCGAGATCTCCCTCTCCCAGCTTCATGATTTGGTAGAAACCCAGCTTCACTTGTTTCTAGACAGCCTGGCTTCCCCGGACCAATCAGGAAGCCGGACGGCACCTCACGACTCACCGCCGGGCTTTCTGATTGATCAGGAAGCCAGGCAACCTCGCAGGTGAAACCAGTGTTCTTTCACTAGAACACTGGCTTCACAGGCAATCAGGAAGCCGGGCGACGGGTCATGATCCGCTACTCAACTTCCTGATAGTCGGGGCATGGCACCAGTCCTCGGTATCGACGAGTACTGAAAAAAAAAATATTTGTACTCGTACTCGAGACCGAAAAACCGGTATCGGTGCATCCCTAATTGTAGCCATTGTAGAGCACTGAAAAGTAGAATGTAGAGCAGGGGTAGGCTACCTCGGCCCTCCAGTTGTTGCGGAACTACAAATCACAGGAGTCATTGCAAAATTCTGCAAGCCACAGGCATGATTCCTGGAGACGGATGATGGGATTTGTAGTTTCATCATAGCTGGACTGCCGAGGTTGCATACTCCCTGAAGTAGAGTCTGTGCATGTGATGAACATGTGGCATGGCTGCCTCCATATACACAGTTGAAGTGATATTAAAGTCAAAAGGTTTTTAAGCTATTTCAAAATCTGATTGAATCACTTACAGTGAATGCTGCTCCTTGATGTTTAAAAGTTCTAGTTTCCTGCAGAATCAGATGTTCTCCTGAACACTGGCCCTGATATCCAGTTTTAGGGTGGCTCCTTTCCCTTGTGTGTGCTAATAAGTTATGTGTGCATCTCCACAAACACATAGGCACAGCAAAGCATGTCACTATCCTCTCCAATCAGCCGCAGAAAACCAAGGTCCATAAAAATCCAACTTTATTGTTGTAAATTCCATGCAAAGTTCAACATACAAGGTATACACCACCATAGTGTCTCTCCCACTCCAACACCGCTCACGCGTTTCACCACCTGGGCTTAATCATAGAGGAGGGACAGATATTATGGGGGTGTATACCTTGTATGTTGAACTTTGCATGGAATTTGCAACAATAAAGTTGGATTTTGATGGACCTCGGTTTTGTGCGGCTGATTGGAGAGATATTGTTTAACGGGTGGGAGCATACTGCAGCCTGCACCCGATGTATATATTCATCTGCAGGCTGGAGGGATTGGAGCTCCTTACTGTTCCCAGCTCCCCTCTCCTCCCTTCTCCCTTCACCAAGCTAGTAGATAGACAACTGCTGGAGATTGTGCTGTGCCTTGTGATCAGTTCAGGGAAGCAGAGCTCAGAGAATTGGAGCCAGCTGTTTGCAAACATGATGAATGTACTGTATGTGCTTGTGCAGGAATTAAAGACATACTTTGCTGGGCAATGTATATTTGTTTGATCTGGATTCTAGGGCTGCAACAACTAATCAATTATTGAAATAACGTTTGAGGGTTTGATATTACCTTAAGTCTCCTCCCCAATGATCAGATTTCAACATTGTAACTTTGTTGCAGTTCACAAAGGGAGAGATCTGTGTCAGATATTTGTGAACACATTTAACCAAGTTCTTTAACATAAATAGTCCCGTCCTTCTGGAGAAAAAAAGCATATGAAGGCATTTTCAGGGGGAGTACTGTGATCTCTGTGAGATGTAATACATACCTAATAAGTAGGGATCCATCAATACCGATATTAGGGCTGCAACAACGAATCGATTAAATCGCTTCTAATCGATAATGAGAATAGTTGGCAATGATTCTCATTATCGATTAGTTGAGAGAGAGATTTTTTTCTTAATACAACCAATTGATGAATTGAAAAAATAATCGGGCAACTAATCGATTATGAAAATAATCGTTAGCTGTAGCTCAAACCGATACTGGTATTGGTATATTTGGTCGAGTGCTCGTCAAGAGTCCAGCTTTACATAAAGTGAGAGTGATCTAGTAATCAACTTTGAGTCTGCCTCGACAGTAGCTCCCTAGTTGCACCTCTCCCCCTCTGGGTATATATATATATATATATATATATAACATGAATTGTTATTTATTTCTTTATTTTATTTAATATGTATACAATACATTTTGACATTTGTTATACACATGTATTGGTTGTATACCTTTCTTAAACCTCTATTTTTTGCCTTTTCTTCATATAAAGTGAGAGTGAGGCAAAGAGAGACATAGAAGATTGGAGAAATCAATCTACTAGTAATGTAATAATAAACGTAATTGAAATTTGTGGAAATGAATGATGAAGCCCCATGTGGAAGTGGCAAAGGTAACTATAGTAACGCATTATATTCGCAACATCAATAGGGTCCCATCAATGAAAATCAAAGAAATGGAAATTGAATGAACAATAAAACTAGACACGCCCAGGGTCCTTAGATCCGCAGATGTAGTATTCAGTATTTGTGTACAAGCTCCAAGGGATGATGGGTTGTGTAGTACCAACAGACAAAGACGTGTGCCCATATTCTGATGTGAACATTCTCTGACTAGAAGTTCAGGAGAGCGCAGCTGAGAGATATGAAGGAATATGCTGTAGAAACGTGAAAATTGAAGTAATTGGGGATACAGTGAGCAAAAATTCTTTATTGTCTTTGATGTAAACATGAAAATATATGAGGGTTTAATACTAGTTTAATTTCCTTAGGTACCTGTAGCCTGCAGGATTTATTCTTTTCAGCCACTTCTACAATGCAGCCAGTTATTTGTTGTGAAGCTTGTAGCTGCATAGGAGGCCAATCAGATTCCCTGCACAGTTAAGTGATAGAGTGGGACAGTTAGGCTAGGTTCACACCTGCACTACATCGCGAGACACCCGGGATCGCACGGTTCTGTACAATGCAGGCAGCGATTGCCGCGCGGCCCCATTGATTTTAATGGGGTGATATCCGCGCGGCTGTTTGGTGTTCGGAAGCATGGGGCGGAATTGCGGCGATCCGCCTGGTGTGACGGGTGCAGTTAGTAATAATGGCACCCACAGCTCGCGATCGGTTCACACGACGTCCGCGTCATCCCATCCACGTGAGTATCACTCGGGGTGCCGCTCTCTGCGAAACTGTATCCTGGAATCTTGATGTGATTTGTGTATTTCTTCCAAATCTGTGTAGCCAGCTTGTGTAAAACTTTACCTCTGTGCAGGAACTTCCTATAATCATAAAGACCGGTCACTGCTGCTCTCTTTCCTTGTGTAGGGTGACTTGTCTTGTCTCCGCCCCCTCCTGTAGTTTTCTGCAGACCAAATGTAGTAGGTGAATCTGCTGGTTCCCTTCCAAAGCTCTGCTGTCTGCACAGGTTATGTTTAGCACAGTGATGTTGTCACTGCTCCTTTTACAAAGTAAGAACTTATTTTATTGTAGAAAAAGTGGATTTATATCCCTTGTGGCTATTGAGGAATGTATTTAAATGAAAGTTTTTGAGCTTTGAGGGCTAGTTCACACCAAGCGCGTTCCAGGAGCAGAGCAGAGCAGTTACAGACCGGATCAAAACTGCGTCCAATGTATTCCAATGGTATTTTGGGCTCTAGTTCACACCGCAGCGTACAGTTCTAGAGCATGTAAAAAAAAACTGCAGCAAGCCCTATTTACGCGTGCAAACGCATCAAAATATATATATTTTTGTTGCAAAAATGGCCCTGAACGCGTCATAAACGCGGCAAAAAATGCGGCAGAACACACTGCACTGCGTGTGCAGAAACTCATGCAGATCTGGTCTGCATTTGGTGTGAACAAGCCTTAAAGTGACAATGAACTCAGGAGTTAAATCATAAAAATGCATTCAAGTACCCAAACTATTTACAAAAATGTATCTTATACTTGTATGTGTATCACTCGGC